TCAGGACAGACAGAATGGACCAGCAGCCTCACAGGACTGGGCAGGAGCTCCGCCGGCCTTGCTTTCTCATTGGTAGAATGGAATCATCACTGAACCTCTCTCATTGGCTGTGGGTGCAGGTGAGGCACCAGGGCATGGCTAGGGCAGACGCTCTGGACCAGAGGTTGTCATGATAATCAGAGTGCTAGGGTCCTACTTTCGTAGTGATACTGCCTCGAAAACCCAAGGAGGGGTCGCTATGAGTCGGGGCCAACTCGACGGCACATAACAACAACAACAACAAGGGCCCTGGAGGGAGCTCTGGTAGCATAGTGCCTATGGCACTTGACTGCTAACCGGAAGGCTGGCGGTTCAAACCCACCAGCCACTCCTCGGAGGGAAAGTTGGGCATCTACTTCCGCAGTGATACCACCTCAGAGGGGTCGCCTCAGAAACACAAGGAGGGGTCGCTATGAGTCCGGTCTGACTCAACGGCACATAACAACAACAGGCTCCTAGAAGTGAGCAGCAAAGGCACGGTTAGGCTGGGCCCTCTCTTGGGAGAGCCTGCCCTTATGCATGGAGGTGGCGGGGTCCCAGCCCCAGGCCCCAGCTAGGCCCCGGTTAGGGGTGTCTCCTGGCCCATCTGGCCTGGCTCCTCTCGCCATGGGAGGTCTTCATACCATTTCCAGCCAGCATCCAGGGCAGGTGGGCCCAAGCTGCGTCCAAACATCCTCTTCCTCGTCTGGAGCCTGGAAGAGCTAAAAATGCTTCGGCTCAGCCCCAGGAAGACAAACCCCGCCCTTCCCTGCCTTTGTGTTCAGGACACACGGGCCAGGCCCGAGGCCACAGAGGCAGGTGGTGGGCTCATGGGCTGGCCAGGGCAGGGTCGGGCTGTCTGTTTGCCTTCCTGGGGGTCTCCTCGCCCGCCTGCCTCCCTGGTTCTCACGGGCTTGGCTTGGGGAGAGGTTCCCATAGGAGTGCAGGCTGTGTGTGAGGGCATTCCTCCCCAAGGTGAAGTGCAGGGGCAGAGAGACCCTCTCTCAGGCCGGGCTCTGAGTTCAGATGGATTGTAATCATGACCACAGGATCCAACATTTGTGGGGCACCCGTCCTGTGCCAGGCACTGCTGGCAACCTTTTAGATGGATTAACTCATTGAATGCCGTGAGTAGTTGCTATTGGTGCCCACATTTCACAGATGAGGAAACTGAAGCTCAGGGAAGTTAAGAAATTTATTCAAGGTCACAGAGCTAGTAACTAGCAGAGCGGGGCTGTGAACCCAGGCGATCTCTGAAGGAACCTAGTCCCTGGCTCTCTCTAATCCTTCATTTCCTCACCTGTAAAATGTAAGATGGTAATACCTCATTCTGGGTGGTTGCAGGGGTGAAGAGAGTAAAAGGGGAGACAGTGCTTTGCAGACAGCCAAGGCCTTGCAGAGGGGAGGTGGGGGATGCAGGGGGAGGCCACATGGTTGAGAGCAGAGCAGGGGTTTGCCCAACATGCAGCCCTCAGCTGGGGTCTCAGGCCAGTTGTGGCGGGGGCTTGGACCGTCCGCAGTTTGGAGCCCCACTTCCTCCTTCTCAAGTGGAGGGGTGTCCTGATGGGGCCACCAGTGCCCTGTCAGTGGGGCTGTAGTATGACATTCCTACCTTGTTGGGTGTGCGGTGCAGTTGGCCCCTGGCACGGAATCCAACACATTCCTTAGCATTTTCTCCCCAGCCAGGGTCCCGGGCCCCCACTCCCAGGCCATGCCCAACACTTTCCCTGCATGGGGGCTTGGGCTGCTCTAAGCATCCAATTGAGCAAACCCCCAGCCTTGGGTAGGCCCTACCTGAGCCCTTAGCCCAGTCACTGGGCTGTGGTCACTTTCCTCGCTGGCCCAGTCCTGCCACGGTGGTGGAGAATTACAGAGTGCAGCCCCCATCCCATGGCCCCAGTGCAGAAGATGAACTCAGGCTGTTCCAGCCCCAATACCCCAACATTCTCCATCTCAAGGCTGTGGGGGTGGCCCCTAGGTACCTGTGTTCAAAGGCTCTCTCCACCCCAGGCAGGGTCTAGCATCTGCAACAACAGACCAGCACTCAGAGGGAGAATAGGCAAGGTGTTTACACATTTATTCATTGCTTCAGCGGATGGTTATTGAATAACTGCTGTATGCTGGAGCAGGTAGGTGGCCTCCCTGTCCAGTGTTGGAGACCAACGTCTGCATGGGCACAACAACACGACGGGTCCATGCTGTGGGAACTCAGAGTGAGTACCTACTCCAGCCTGGGAGGCTTCCTGGAGGAGGTGCTGGGTAAGCTGAGTGGGGAGGAGAAGGCAGAGGTATTCTTCAGAGAACTGTGTGTGTGTGTGTGTGGACAGACCCACACGTTGACATGGTGTCTGCAAGCAGATGATGTGGGAAACGTGTCCTCCCTCAGCATGGCATTCAAGGCCCCATGTGCCACATGGTCCCAGTGCTGCCACTTTGAGTCCTTGTACAAAGACGTGTCGATTGTAATCATCTGCATCTGTCTCACCCAAGAGGCTGGGAGGTCCCTGAGTGACAGGCCTGGGTCACCTTCCTCATTTCACTCCCCAGTGCTTCCCGTGGGTCTGCACACAGCCGGTGCTCAGGGGTGCTGCTCCAGCTAACCTTCCCCACCCCCCAAGTGCATCCCCAGAGGCGGACCCATGTACCCCTCTTTTGCGCTCTGACAGCCCTTTGCACGTATGTACGTCAGAGCTCATACAGGCACAGCATTTGTCAGTTGGCAAAGCCCTTTGACACTTATTAACGTACTCGATGCTCACAGAAGCCTTGTGCAGAAAGTGTCACTGTCGTCAGCATTATCATCGTCATCAGCATCCTCTGCCAGGAGACGGCACAGCATGGTGTCTTCGGTGTGTGGGCTCCGCAGCTGGACTGCCTGAGCTCAAGTCCTGGCTCTACTGTGTACTAGCTGTGTGACTTTGAGCAAGTAGCTTAACCTCTCTGTGTGTCAATTTTCCTTCTGCGCTTCAAGACTGGAGCAATGTCGGACATGAAAAACACTACCTACTACATGGTCAGCACTTAATGATAAGGGTAGTTTTTATCATCCTATTTGTACACAGGGAAACAGAAGGTCAGAGTCAAGGTCACCCAGCTGTCTGATGGAGCAGGATTTTCTCTCTAGGTCTTCAGCCTTCAAATCTGGTGTTTTGAGATTATCTCCTCACGTTACCCCGCCTCCCCACCTCCCATAGCTCCCTTTTCACCTGTCTCCTAATTTATCTGTTAATGCATCTATCTGTCCTTCTGGGCTGAGGGCTCCTCCAGGGCAGGGGCCAGAGGTCTTCATCTGAATCAGCAGTCAGACTGGTTCCCTGTTGTCTCCGCAGTGCCTGGTCACTGGCAAGCACTGTGGAAGGAAGGATTCCCTCCAGCCATTAACTCATTGGTGCTTGTTGTTGTTGTTTGCCATAGAGTCGCCCCCCCCCCCACTCATACCGACCCCTCCTTGGGTTTCCGAGGCAGTATCATTATGGAAGTAGGATTGCCCAACCTTCCTTCTGAGGAGTGGCTTCTGGGTTTGAACCGCCAGCCTTCTGGTGAGCAGTCAAGTGCCTTAGGCACTATGCTACCAGACCCCTCTATAAAGTGAGGACAGATTCTTTGAGGTACAATAACTGCACAAAACATCAGTTTGGATATATGCATATATCCATGAACTCATCACTGCAATGAAAATGACAAACCCCTCCCTCTCTACAATTCATAGATTTAGTCCCAACTTATAGAGGGGAACATTGAGGCACAGAGAGGTTAAATAACCTTCCTGAGACAATCAGCAAGTGGCCAGGATTTGAAACAGGGTAACCTTTGCCCAGCCTGCCTCTTAGCCACTGGGCCAAACTGCCTAGGCAGTAATGGGGGGGGGACGAGACTCCTCCACTCCACATTTTATGAAGCGACAGAGGGTGTGACTGGCTCAGTGTCTGAGGACATGAGGAGTGAGCTGACACTCCGAAAAGATGCCGCATTTGGGCACAAAGGCCAGATGACAGTGCAACAGGATGAGACAAAGGTGTTAGGCAGCCAGGTGTTGTGGGGAGGCTATGGGTCTCGTGATGGGTGCTGGGTGCAGTGGGCGTGCGCGTGTGACTCTGACAGTGTGACTGTTGAAGGCAGGGACGTAGCAGCTCCCGCTGGGGGCGGGAGGTGTTAACTGTGCCAGTGCTGGTGTGGGGGTGTGGGCCCTTGGGCCTTGAACCGGGGGCTGAGGGAGGTAGTAAACATCAGAGTGACTGGATGATCATGATGGCGGCCCGGGAGGATGCTGCAGCTTGTGGGGGTTTGTGTGACTCTGCAGTTCAACAAATTCAAATTCAGCTAACGGCTGTGCCTGTTGTGTGCCAGGCAACCAGCTAGGAGGAGGAGAAGACAGGGCCCGGCTTGCAGCTTAATGGTACCGCTGCAGGACTTGGTGTGTTCACCTTGGGGTGGGTTCTTTGTGCCCATGATGGCATATAATCCTCACTTAGAGGCTGGATGGAGTCGAGCAGAAGGGAAGTGACTTGCCCAAGGTGACCCAGCCACTCCTCAACACACAGCAGGATCTGAACCTAAGCTGTTGGGGTCCTTCCACCAGGCTTGCCCATGGTGCAAACGTCTGGTCCTGGAGCTGTGCAGCTGGAGGAGGGTGCTGGCACCTTAGGGCCTCCTGGCCCCAGGGATACCCCCCAACCACGTGGTCTCCAATCTAGTCCATGGTCATTGCATTGAGAGGCGGGGTGGTTGGCAATTACTAGTTCTCCCTTCTTTGGGGCTAGATCCTCGCGAAGAGGGTTTGCAGTGCCTCTAGGAGACCCCTAGAGCCCTGCCACGCCCCAGGCCCTCCCTCCGCTCCAGCTCCCCTCCCCTCCCTCTCGGGGCTGACTCGGGGCCAGAAGGGGAAAGGCTGTCTCCACCCACCTCTCGCACTTGGCTCTCCTTTATAAAGGCCGGAACAGCTGAAAGGGTGGCAACTTCTTCTTCTGCCGCCAGAGCGGCCGCCTGCCTCCCTCCCCCCGCGCCCGCAGCCTCCCCCACCATCTCCCCGAGGGCTCTCCTCCGGCCGCCAGCGCCCATCTTTCATTCCCGAGATACAGATATTTTGCGCACACACAAACACACACGCGCAAAAAGAGGGGAAAAAAAAAAAAAAAAAGCCCACCCTCCAGCCTCGTTGCAAAGAGAAAGCCGGAGCAGCCGCAGCTCACAGCGCAGAGGACGCCCAGAGCGGCCGGCGGACAGACCGACGGACTCGCGCCGCGTCCACCTGTCGGCCCGACCCGGCTGAGCGCGCACGCTGCGCGCGCCGAGCAGCCGTGCCCGCTGCCCAGGCCCTGCGCCAGGGCGCACACGCTCCGGCCCCCCCATCTGGCCGGGGCAGGAGTTTGCACCTCTCCCTGCCCGGGTGTTCGGGCCGCCGCTGCAAAGCCAACTTTGGAAAAAGTTTTTTGGAGGAAGCTTGGGCTTTGAGGTGCCCAGCCTTGCGTTTTCTGATTTTGGGGACAATTCCAGAAAATGTTGCAACAAAGCTAAGCCGGAGGGCAGAGGAAAACGCCTTTAGCCGGCGAGTGAAGACGAACCATCGGCTGCCGCGTTCCTTTTCCTCTTGGAGGTTGGAGTCCTCTGGGCGCCCCCATACGGCTAGACGCCTCGGCTGGTTCGCGACGCAGCCCCCCGGCCGTGGATGCTCGCTCGGGCTCAGGATCCGCACAGGTAGCGGCTGCTGCGGACCCTGGTCCCGCGCCCAGGCCCTCCCCAGCCCCCCAACGACGGAGCCCAGGCCGGGGGCGGCGGCGCCCGGGGGCCATGCGGGTGAGCCGCGGCGGCGGCAGCAGCGGCCTGAGTTCCTGATCGGCGCGGACCCACGCCGAGCCCACCCTCCTCGCCAGCCCCCGCCCCCCGCCCTGGCCGCGGGGGCGGCGCGCTCGGTCCACGCGTCTGGGGCCCCGCGGGGCCGGGCCCGGAGTCGGCATGAATCGTTGCTGGGCGCTCTTGCTGTCTCTCTGCTGCTACCTGCGTCTGGTCAGCGCCGAGGTGAGTTGCGACGGTGGCTGGGGCCGGGAGGCTTCATTCATTACGCCACCCCCACCCTAACGCCCCCTCCTTTCCCTGCAGTGAACTTTGCACCGTTGCTGCCTGTGGGCCTGGCGCTGGGCACTGGGTGACCTCCGAGGGCTGGGACGAGAGGCCCGGGGAGTGCCAGTCTCTCAAGGGAGGGGACAGCGGTGGCTTTCTTTCCTAGGGGCTGTATCAGATGCTTAGCCTTTCAGCAGCCGGGGAGGGTGTGTTTAGCCCTGCCCCCACCCCTTAAGAACCCTAGAATAAACCCCCACCCGGCCGAGAGGGGGTGGGGTGGTGCCCAGGGCACAGAAGACAGTCACCCTGAACCAATTCGGCTTCTGCTTGGGTTTATGGGCTACCCAGGACCCGGCTTGCCCAAGAGGTGTTAGCTCGCCCACCACGCTGACCTTCGGCGTGGGTCCCACCCCAGCTCCCGCTCCCGGTTAGGGTGGGTGCCCTCGGGCGGCACAAGGCATGCCCAACACGGAGCGCGGTCCAAAAGCAGCTCACGCCCGGGCGAGGGGAGCTGAGGGAGACAGAGGGCGACATTTTGGGCGCTGGGGCAACTGGGGTAGGGGGAGGAGTGGGGCTTTGGAGGCAGCCAGCCCCTGGGGCGGTGTGTGCCTGAGGCCCTGCCCTACCTGCGCCCGCGCCCTGCCTGGGGGAAGCACCTATCTCCCCCGCAGCAGGGTGCGGAGCGCGCCGCCGGCAAAAGCCCAGATGCAGGGGAGGGGGGAGATGGCAACGTCTGCGGGAACTATCAGGTCGGCTCCGTCTCCCCAGCCCTCCCGGCCTCACGTAGCAGTGAGTTGGCAAGTCGATCCAGAATCCAGGTGGGAAAGGGGGCGGGGCAGGGAGCAGGCGCTGGGTGGAGGGAGGAGAGGGCAAGGCGAGGAGCGCGGTGCGCCTGGGACCCGTCCCGCCTTCACTCGGCCCCGGCCCGGAGCCCGCACCTCGCCGCCCCGGCGGAGGCTGGCCCCTCTTGACCTCCCGCGAGGCACAGGAAGGAGCCAGCGGCGGCCGCAAAGGGGTTAAGGCGGAGGGCTCAGAGGCCGCGGCCGGGCTCTGGGCCGCCGCCAGCGCGGGTTGTTTTGACCACGGAGGAGTCGTCGCCGTCTCCTTTTGTTCTCGGGGCTCCTCGAGGGCCGCCGACCGCCCGCCCCGGGACCCCGCCCTTCCGTGGCCGCCCCGTGCGTCCCGCACCCGGGAGGGAGGGCGCGAGTTCTGCCGGCCGGCCTTCAGGCTCCTCCCGCCGCCCCCTCCGCGCCTCGCCCGCCGCCCCCCGGGCCGCGGCCAGCTGTTGGGGAGGGGGGCCGGCCGGCTCCAGCTGCCGTCTCGCCTCGCCGCGGGCCTGGAGGCTGGGCCCGGTGCCAAGGCGTCCTGGGTACGGCGGCACCCCCGCCGCTGTTCTCCGCAGCCCACCTCGCCCGGCCCCCCGACTCGCTCACTCACCCCACGCATGCACACTCCTGGCCGGAGGCGATGCTGCGCTCGGGCGGGCGGCGGGAGCGTAGAGCGGCGGGCACGCACTACCGCGTTCGGGTCGCGCGCCCGCCGCCGCCACGCCCGTGCACACCCGGGGCATCGCGCGCGCACCGCACACAAACGCACGCATGGTCCCTGCACGCGCGGCCTGAGCACACGTGCGCGCACACCCACGCACGTACACTGGCATGCACTTCCAACGCCAGATGCTCGCCCTCGCGCAACAGGTGGGCCGCCGTGGGCCCTGGAACCTGGCGACCGCGTTCGCTTCCTGGGGCCCCTATGAGGGAAGGGAAAGGGGCACTCTTCCATCAGGTCCAGTGCCACCACCCACTTTTTTTTTTTTTCTGTCAGGGCAGATCCACACCCCTCAAACTTGTATGAATGCCTTTTTTCAGCCACCCCCATGTGGCTGAAAATGGGGCTCTGCAATGTCAGCTGTCTCTTCCTTCAAATAAGCCCTTTGCTCCTTAGATTTTGGGAGACCCTTCCCGCGAAAGAGGGTGGGGCAGCACCTGGTTCCCACGACCGTGGAATATTTCAAGGTGTTGCTGACTGCAGCACGCAGCAGGCGGGGGTGTTGGCAGGCCGCCCCTTACCATCTCCAGCTTCGCTCAGCAACCCTCCCCCTGTCCTGCAACTCCATGGGCAAGTGCACTTGGAGGAGAGGCGATGGCACCAAACCACCGCGTTTCTTCTGTTTCATCACAGCGCCCTGACCATATGCTCCGCAGGAACCCATGACGGATGGCTGTGGTGCTTTGCAGTTTACAGAGAGCGTTTTCCTGCTAAGCCTGAGCCAGCTCCAGGCCCTCTAGCTAGCGGGGAGGAGACCTAGGGAGAGCATACAAAGCCTAGGGCGTGAGTCAGAATCCACTGGCAACTAACAACAACATCAACATCAATATGGGGGCCAGCCCAGGAAGAAGCTCTTAGCTGCCAGTGCAGGGATCCTTGGGGAGGGCTTGCTGGTGGCAGTGGCTTTGCGGCTGCCATGTTGAGCCTTAGGGTTAGGCAGCTCAGACAGAGCTGGGCTGGAGGGTCTGTGAGGCCTTTAAATCAGCTGAGCTGGCTTCCGGCCCAGTGACTCCCAAGGTCATGTGATGCTTCTGGCCTCATCCCCTTCTTGGAGAAGGAGGAGGGGGCACTGGCACTCTTCCTTCCACCCACCCCAGGTCCCCCCACCCCCGGTTTGCTAATGGCCTTGGGTGGTGGGAGGACTTGCTGGAATCGCCCAGCCCCAGAGGTGTACAAGGTCAGAATCAAACTGAATTTGGAAGTTCTAGTGCAAGAGCTAGGAACTGTGTGTGTGTGTGTTCAAGTGTTTGATTCAGCAGGACCATTGAGGAGGTTTTACCGTGGACCTCGTTTCTGGTTTATTTACTTTCTTAATGGTTTATTATCTGGCTTCCCCTCTGGAGTATAAACGCCATTGGAGAGCTTTGTATTGGTCACAAGTGTCCCCCGTGTGCAGAACAGTGCCTGGTGGACAGTCATAAATATTTATGGAAGGAGCAGACACAGGAACAGCACTTGCTAGGCGCCTTATGAACGGAGCCTCTGTTAATTCTCGTCCCAAAGTGCAGCCGGCAAGGCCATCCAGCCCTGTGGGTGGCACCTGTCTTTCCAGGTCTCCTCACCTTGAGAGACCACCAGCATGTCTTTCTCCTCTCTCTTGGGACTTGGATGGGGCAGGGGGGAAGAAACAGAAGGAAAATGGGACTGCAAAGGCTCTGTGTGTCTCAAGTAAATCCTGTTCCCATTCGGGACCTCAGTTTCCCCACCTGAGAACAACCGAGAAGGTTGGATTAGCTGCAAGTTCCTCAAGAGCTGCAGAATCGGCAATGCACATTCCTGGCCCTTGCCCGAGAGCTGGGGTTGGGAAGCAGGCTGTGATTCTGATGGCTGCCAGCACTGTAAATTGCTGGGCTGGCCCGTCTTCCTGCTCCAGCAAGAGAGGCAGGGGCAGTGTGGGCCAGGCCAACATTAAGCAGGGAGGCTGGCAGGAGGGTCCCTGGGGCAATGGGGAAGAGGTGCTAGGTGGGAAAGGGTGGTTCACATGGCTTCTGTGGTCGGCCCAGCGTGGCTTCTTCAAAGGGATTGTCTTTGGCATCTGATCTAAATAAGGCCTGAGTTTCTCCGCCAGGCAGGCACTCAGAGGCCTTGTCGGCTTCCCCCTCTGCCAGCCCCTCTGCCAGCCGCGGACAACGCCCCTGGTTGCCTGGACCAAGCCTGTGTCTTCCTCGGTGGGTGTGCCAGGCCTGGTGTGGAGTGCCTATCTGTGTGTGCTCTGGGGCCCAGGTGAAGGGTGGGGTTCATGCTCCTTTGATCTGCCAGCCGGCTTGGGAGCAGGTAATTCACCTGGCCTCATGCGCGTGCCCTTCCTACCTTCTGCAGCTGGCGGGAGGGGCGGGCGAGGGAGGAGGCTGTTTGCTTTGGCTGCCACGGCTGGCTTTGCCCCAGCTGCCTCCTCACCACGCCCTCACCCTGCCAGGAACCCCAGGCCTGGGACCTGGGGCAGCTTCCTCCGAATGCCAGGTCTCCTTGCCAGTCTCCCAGGGGCAGGAGCAGGGCTATGGGGAGGAAGGGGAGCTACTCACCAAAGGAAAGTTCTAGAACCTGTGCCCAGGAAAACCAGGCTCTTGATCTGTCACCCTCCTAGGCCAAGAGGGGTCCCTAACCCCAAGCAGGTACCTGTGTAAGTCTCTTTCAGGGCATCACACCCTGGAGCTGGCCATAGGCCGACGTCCCCCACTCTCACCCACACCCAGCCCCGGAAGGGACTGGCCAGCCCACATGGCCCCCGGCAATGCCAGTGTGGAGCTAGAGTGCCATTTCCTGTGCCCTAGCACAGGCCATAACGCAAAGTCACTCTCTCACCATGGACGGGTGGCTCTCCACCCACACGTTGACATCCTCTAAAATGCCCCATTGCAGCTAGACATACGCCTCTCGGCTGTTGTCCTCAAAGGATCACACTGAAAGAATTCATGACAATGACAGTGACTACTCATTGTCTGCCATTGAGTTGATCCTGACTGTTAGGGACTCTGTAGGACAGAGTGGAACTGCTTCATAGCATTTCCTAGGCTTACTTACAGTCCTTACTGGAGCAGAGCCTGTCCGGTACTTAACCATTGCACCACCAGGGCCGTTGACAACTCATTAAGTTCTCATTATTTGCTGGCTGCTCTGCTAGGCACAGTCACCCCTCCCAGCCGCCCTGGGGTGGGGGCGGAGGTATTATTAGCCCTATTTAAGAGAGGAGGGAGGTGAGGTTTTGCATTGTTGAAAGACAAGCTCAAGGCCACAGGAAGCTCAGCTCCAAAGGCAGGACCACAATCCGCATCCCTCGGTAGCCACCACCTTTACACTTTCTCCACTATCGCGTTTCTCCACCACTGTTGCCCTTTGAGGTGGTGGTGGGCAGCGGGCCTGTGCATGGTAGGATATTTAGTAACATCTCTGGTCTCACCTACTAGTGGCCAGTAACACTCCCCTAGTTGAAGCAGCCAGTCTCCTGACACTACAGTGTCACCCTCGGTTGGGAACCTCTGCTTATAACAAGACTAACAGCTGCAGGGATAAAGAGCCAACGTGAACCACCGTCTGGTCCTGGAGGCCAGAGGGAGGAGAGGAGAGGAGAGTGGTGAACCCCCCAGGTGGGCCAGGTGAGGGGGGACATTCTGGGGTCTGAGTGTAGCCCAGCCCTGCCAGTGACTAGCCATGAGCTCTGTAGCCGTTGACTTAACGTTTCTAAGCCTGAGGTTCTGCACCGGGAAGACGGGGAAGAAAGTAGCGTTCAGCTCCTGGGATTGGTGATTTGTAGAGTGTGGAGCTAGCCTAGCTTGCATTCAGTGCTTGATCCAGGCTTGTTGTTGTTGTTGTTATTTGCCGTTGAGTCGCCCCCGACTCATAGCGACCCCTCCTTGGGTTTCCGAGGCAGTATCACTACGGAAGTAGGATTGCCCAACCTTCCTTCCGAGGAGGAATCCAGGCTTAGTTGTGGCATTATTTTCCAATCCAGGCTGGTGGTGAGTGTGGGCCTCCAGTGGTCACCTTACCCAAAGAACATGAAGCAGTGGCCTCCCAGCTTCAAATAAACTGGACTCTTCAGGAGGCTGTTTGCTTGTGAGGTGCAGAGAGAGTATCCCTGGTGGCCTTTCTGGGGGAGGAGGCAGGAGAATCATACCTGAGAGAATACCATGGAGAAGGGATGCTTCCTTCATGCATTTGGCCGGTATTTATTGAGCACCTACTATGTGCTTCTCCCAGCTTCTCAGTCTCTATCCTGAGCTCTTTCCCACTCAGCCTTGGAGGGTCTGAATCTGTTTCCATAAGACGTCATCTAGACCTGGGCCTGGGGCATCCGCTTGGGTACTTTGGGGGTCTACTACATTGCCACAGTGGCAGCTACAGGGCACCTCTTCAGTGGGGCCCACAAGAGTGTGGCATGAGCGCCAAGCGTCCATTTGTACTCAGCCTCTGGGCCCTTCCCTTTGGGGAACTGCCAGAATCATTACTTCATACAAACTGGCCGCTCCTTCTGTGCTGAGCCAGGGAGGCCTGGCAGGCACCCTTCTCCTTATCAGTCCTCGATGCCTCTTCTGCTGCCTCCAGGCAGAATTAGAATCCAATCAAATGTTCTTCAACTCCTGCCATTCACAGGTGAGAGCCAGGCCCAGAGAGGGCAAGGGAACAGCCTAGGTCACACAGCAGCCAGTAGCCACGCATGCAGTAGAATCCAGCTCTCTCGAGTCCTACGTTTGACAAAGCTCTTGGGGAGTGGCTCTCCTTGGTCTTCACTTGAGACCAGCTGCCAGCCTTCTTCTTTGTGGCTCGTGAACCGTGTGCATACTGAGAGGTCACCAGAAGTGTGTCTCTTCCCCAGGGTTGGAAGTGAACATGCTTGTAGATAGGGGTGGCAGCTAAGCCGAGGCCCCCTCCTCCCTGGCTGACACCTCCTAGCTATGCCACAAAGACAGGGAAGGACCCTTGACTCTGAGCCAAACCACTGCTGGGCCCCCAATCCAGCCTTTCCTCCCTCAAACCACCCACCAGTCCTGAGACACCGTGTTGACTGAGGGGTCTCAAAGAACCAGCTTTAAAAGTGGAGTCCTGGGGCAGTGCAAATGGTTAATGTGCTTGGCTGCTAGCCAACAGGTTGACGGTTCAAGTCCATCAGAGGTGCCTTGGAGTAAAGGCTTGGTGATCTCCTTCAGCAAAAATCAGCTGTTGGAGCCCGTATGGGGCACAGTTTTGTGACATACGTGGGGTCAGCGTGAGTCAGAACTGACTTGATGGCAACTGGGTAGTCAAAGGGAGACTGAGGCACCGAGTGGTTTAACCCAAGGTTTGACAGCGAGGAAGTCAAGTCCGCTGATGCACTGTCTGGGGCTCTTTTTTTTTACTGTGTATCCTAAGTGTGTGCACGTGTATGTGTGCACATGTGTCTCTGTGTATGTGCATGTATGGGTCTCAGCCTGGGGACATGCAGCCGCACCTGACCCAGTTTCTTGGGCCCCTCGGTGCTGGCTGTCAGATTGCCGCATCTCAGCCTCTCACTTGCCCCTCCCCCTCCCCCGAGGCCTCTGACATCAGCTGTGGGGGATGTGACAGTGACCTTCCCATCAGGCCGCTCTCCCTTCACTGTGGGGCCTGTGGTTTCCCTGGAGGAAGCCCGACTCCGAGTGGGGCCTGTTAAAACTCTTACCGAGTTTCAAGTGTTTCTGGAAACAGGCCAGAGGGGCTCTAAAAATAGGGTTTGGCTGGGCATGGGTACGGGTAAGCTTTCAGATTGCCATCCGTGTCTGAGGATTCCCTTCTCTCCTCGTTCATGCGAGAGACTAAGTGGATCTCACTCGTGTGGCTTCCGGAGACCATCTGACTTTGCAAGTGTTTATTAAACACCTACTGTATGCTTGGGGAGCTCTGGTGGCATAGTGCCTAAGGCATTTGACTGCTAACCAGAAGGCTGGCGGTTCAAACCCACCAGCCACTCCTCGGAAGGAAGATGGGGCAATCTACTTCCGTAGTGATACTGCCTTGGAAACCCAAGGAGGGGTCGCTATGAGTCGGGTCCGACTCGACGGCACATAACAACAATAACAACAGCAACTGTACACTTGAGGCTGAGAGTACAGAGCCTGTAGTCAGAAGGACTTGGGTCGGGTGGGAAGACCACATCTGCAGATAATCGCAGTGGGACCTGGGCATATAACATTACCTCTTTTTCAGCCTGTTTTCTCATCTGTAAAACGGGGATGATAAGATCTCCCTTGATCAATGTTGGGTGTTACTAGCTGTCAGGAGTCCCGGGGAGAAGCAGAGAGAAAGCAGACTGTTGTCACCTCCTGGGAACCTGTAGTGTGACAGGGACACAGATGTGCAAAATCAGGCCTAACTTACAGCCAGCCAGGGTTCTTCTGCTTGGAGGTGCGGTGCAGCATTTGTGCTGGGGCCTAACAGCTGTCCTTGTGCTCCCGGTTGTCAGGCCACCATCTTGACCCCTGTCTTCATCCTGGCTGTCCATTTGTCCATGGCCTAGGGGCCTGTGGACAGAAGATTGGGAGTGTGTGGAGGTGGATGGGGGAAGACGACCATGGCTGGGGAGCCCTACTTTCGGCTCACTCGGCCCCCTGTGTCCACCTGCAGGGGGACCCCATTCCCGAGGAACTCTACGAGATGCTGAGTGACCACTCGATCCGCTCCTTTGATGACCTCCAGCGTCTGCTGCACGGAGACTCTGGAGGTAAACTGACTCCCATTTAGGGCTCTGGCCCTCCGCAAGCCGGTGGGGGCTGGGAAGGGCAGGGCAGGGAGCATTCCCTCTTCCTTGAGTCCAAGGCCCCTGCAGCCCACGAAGGCCAGGCCACGCCTACCCAAAGCAGGGCCGAGTAGGCGGACAGGTTGGTCCCTGGGGCGTGGGGCATGGTAGGAGAAGCACCCACATGTGGCCCTGGCTGGGTGCACAGGGTGGAGTGGGGGAGGAGGACGGGTAGGGAGAAGGTCCCCAGGCTTCTGCCAAGTCTGCATCTAGGTGTGGACCTAGCTGGGAAGGGTGGAGCTTGAGAAGCCCTCTCCCTGCCCTCCTGGCTGAGGGGCCTGCCTCTGAGGTCTCTTGGGGACACCTGGCCTGGACCATCAGGCAGCCCTGCCCATGCCCGCGAGTGCACTCGCCCGTGGGCACGTGCTCGGTGGCACACATGTGGCAGGGCTGGTGGGCCGGGTTGGGAATGTATTTATAAACATTGTCTTCAGAGCAAATTCCATTCTATTCTAACCTCTGCCTGTTCCCTGGAGCCCTGGTCAGCACCCCCCTGCACCCCTTCCCTCTGGGGTTTTGTCTCTTTGTCACTTTGTAATCCTTGCCCAGACGCTATCTACGGGGGACAGCATTTCCTGCCTTTGTTTTCCTCCCCGTTGGGCCCCTGGCTCCCTCTCAAAAGCATTCCCGGGCCCTTTCAAACCCCCCTGTGCTGGGGGGTCGTGAGGCTAGAGGGAGGGGGCCCTAGCTGGGCCCACCTATTGTTCACCAGGCCCCCCACCCGACGTCTCCCACACCCCCACCCCATGCCCGGCTGGCCAGCCCTGGCCACACAATGGGGCAACTTCCAAATTTAGCTTTTCTGCTGTTTCTTTCCAAGACCTTGGCCCCCACCCTCAAGCAGCCCCTCCACACCCCGGGTGGGGGTCAGGATCTGCTGATGAGGTTTTTTAATAGCAGGTCTGTTTCGAGGCAACCGTGTGCCTATTTTTTCCTAATCGGCTTAACCTTTCCACAAGGCACGTCTTTTCCTCATCTTCTCTGACTAGGGACATTCCAGACATGGAAGAGAGAAGGAAGGGAGTCAGAGGGATGGATAGACAGGCTGACGTGGGAGCAGCTAGGCTAGCCGGAAGCACACCAATCACTAGGCTTCCAGCAGGACGGTCCCCTCCAAACAGGATCCCTTGAGATGCTGGATGGGCCGGCTGTAGTGAGCCTTTGGCTTTGCACTGGGGAGGGTCACAGGGGTCTTGTCCCCCGGACACCCCTTCATTTATTTGCTGGCTCTGCATCCACCAGAGAGGTCTGCTTGTGAAGTCAATATCAAGTTCAAAGTCTTCCCTCCCAACTTCACCTCCCAGCAGCTAGCTTAGGGCTGACCTCTCTAGGGGGAGTCTGGGTCTCCAAGGAGGGCTGGTGGCACTGGCCCAGCTGCAGAGCCACCTGGGCCTGAGAAGGGAGCTGTCGTTTGTGATCTTAGGATAAATGGACGGCTTCGGGGCAGGCATGGGGCAAAGGTTAGAGAACGGGAGAGAGTCAGAAACAGACGCAATGACAGGCAGGGAGACGGAGACCAAGACCGAGAGGAGAACGGGCCTGTGGCTCCCCCAGAGCACAATGTTCCCCATCCCTCTCCTCTGCCTTCAGCCCTCACCCCCGCAGCAGCCGGCCCCCTCCCACTCTTTCTCCCTCCCAGCAGGGCCATTGTCCGCTCCAGAGGGGCTGTGGCCAGGGCAGGCTGGTCCCCCCTGGGGATTCTGGGAATTTCTCCTTTCAGCACTTCCTATGGGAAAGCTGCGTGGAGGGGCATGGAGCCTGGCCTTGAGCTTGCTGGGCCGTGCCCCACCCTGCAGGCTGAGGAGGGCTCCTGACAGTAGGAAAGGGGAAGCCTTATTTTTAACTCCATTGACATGGATTCTGGCCAAAAAACGAGGCTGAAGAGCCCAGAGAGGGGCTGGGGGTGCAGTCAGGACCCTACTGTCCCTGAGCCCTGTGGCTGCCGTGGGGTTGCCTGGAGCCCTCTCCTCACGGCCAGGCCCTAGGGGTGGGGTGGCTAGGCGGGTAGGCTATTTCCTGGAGTCGGGTACCAGTGGGGAGCTCGAGTTGCCATCTCCTGCCTGTTGGCACCCCATTCCCACAGCCACACCAGCCAGCAGTTGCCTACAGTGAATCTGAGCATGCTTTTTTTTTTTTTTTTTTTACAGATGAAGACGGGGCCGAATTGGACCTGAATTTGACCCGTTCCCATCCTGGAGTCGAGCTGGAGAATTTATCCCGTGGTAGAAGGAGCCTGGGTAGGACCGAGAGTAGGAATGATGGCCCCTCCCAAGATGGGAGCCAGGGAGGGGGAACTGGGGTATACAGGGTACACGGGGGTATACAGTTCTACCAGTGCTGGCTCAGGGGGTCATCTGAAAACTGCCCTTCCCCCCACACTAAGGAATGAGTTGAACTCGGGGAAGAGAATCTTCCTTACCCCACATTGAGGAGATGAGTCATCATACTCCACCCCAACACACTGTTTTCTAAATATGGTGCTTTTTAACCCATTTGTTCCTTAGCCCAACCCTGTAGGTAGATGTTATTAACCTCATTTGACAGAGTTGGTAACTAAGGCCCAGAGAGGCTAAGAGCTAGCCCAGGGTCACACAGCTAGGAAGTGGTGGGGCTGGGATCCCAACTTGCTCTTCTCAACTGAACCCAGTACTCTCCCTGGCAGGCTCTGTGGCTCTGCTGGTGGCTAAGGGCTTTGACCTGGGACAAAGACATAGGACCCACTTGTAGAGTGGGAGGGGAAAGGTGCCTCAGGGAGGCCTTCCCAGAACAGGCGGGTGCCCACCCCAAGTCCCTCCTGCTCTTTGCATAGTAAAAAACAAAACAAAACAAAACAAACTCACTGACTCACAGCGATCCCTCCTTGGGTTTCTGAGGAGGTATCTCTGTAGAAGTAGATTGCCCAATCTTCCTACCCTGGTGGATTTGAACCACCAGCCTTCTGGTTAGCAGTCAAATGCCTTAGGCATTATGCCACCAGAGCTCCCTCTTTGCATAGTACAATCCCCAAAAGAGTGCACACAGAGTGGTGGGGGAAACCACTGGGTCAGACCAGGGTGACTGAGCCCCCGCCCTTGCTCTATGAGTGTGGATAGCTGATTTAGTGTCCAGACCCTCAGAATCTCCCTGTGTGAAAGACGACAGCCACTCCTACGTTGACTGAGTGCCTGCGTCGGCCAGGCTTGGCGTGTATTACCCCTTTGATGCCCAGGCAGCTGCATGAGGTGCAGGGGTTGTTGCCATCCAGTTGCATAGATGAGGACCTAAGGCTTTGAACCGAGCAACAATGTGAACATTATCAGAGTGTGTAAGCTGGTGTGGGAGTTACCAGGTAATACACCAGGAAGGGCCATGTGGAGGGCGAACCCATGCATACCTGACACCACAGAATAAAATGACTGTGGGCCACAGGAAGGAAATGAAACTTTTTTTGTCTTTTAATTTTTCATTATTGTGATGAAAACGTTTATAACAAAACATAAGCCATCTCAACAATTTCTGCACACACGATTCCGTGACACTGGATACTTCCTTCAAGTTATGCACATCTCGCCATCCTTTTCCAAATCATTGCAGCACCGTTACCATCAACTGAGTGCCCCCTAAGCAATAACTTCTCCTTTCTCCCTCCCTTCCACCCCTGGCAACCACTGATAAACTTATTAGGAGCTCTGGTAGCGTAGTGCCTAAGGCACTTGACTGCTAACCAGAAGGCTGGCGCTTCAAACCCACCAGCCACTCCTCGGAAGGAAGGTTGGGCAATCGACTTCCATAGTGACACTGCCTTGGCAACCCAAGGAGGGGTCGCTATGAGTTGGGGCAGACTCGATGGCAAATAACAACAACAACAACATACATTTGTTTATTTCATATAAATGAGATTATATAGTGTTTGTTCCTTTGAGACTGACACTACACTCAGTGTGATGAGGGAATGGACGTTTTACATTCTGAGTGATCTCACTTGACATCTTCATCCCCACTTTGCTGATGGGGAAACTGAGGTTTGGAACATCTCAGCAGCCTGCCCCTGTCCCAGACTAAAAGACAGGACTCGAAACCTCAGCAGACTGGCCTCCTAACCGCCAGGCCAGGGTCTGCCATCTTGCTGCCAGCTGGGGCTCTCGGCAGGCCTGCCCTTCTGACGTGCCCTCTTCCTGCAGGCGCCCTGCCCGTCGCCGAGCCAGCTATGATCGCCGAGTGCAAGACGCGCACCGAGGTGTTTGAGATCTCCCGGCGCCTCATCGACCGCACCAATGCCAACTTCCTGGTGTGGCCGCCCTGCGTGGAGGTGCAGCGCTGTTCCGGCTGCTGCAACAACCGCAAAGTGCAGTGTCGCCCCACCCAGGTGCAGCTGCGGCACGTCCAGGTATGCAGGCCCCGTGGCCCCAGGCTGGGTCCGGCTGTGGACGGGGGTGCACTCCAGGCTGGCAGCTCTGACCAGGCTTCCGTCGCAGTCGGAGGGCACTAAAGACCTTCCTGGTGTGCTCCTAGGCTCTGTTCAGACAGGGAAGCTCACCTGGGCAGGTGTGCTGAGGCCAATCGTGAGTCCTCTCAGGCTGTCCAGGCCGCCGTGACCAAAAGCCACAGACATGTTCTCCAGGCAGGGATGGGTGTGGGAGTGGACAGAGGCTACGTCCTCTGTTACACGGTATGAAACCTCAGTAGCCCTTAAAGAGACGTGTCTGCAGGCATTTCTTTGGGACTCAGAATGTTCAGATGCCTGCTTAGCCCCGCCCCCCAAGCCACACCCCCCGAAGCCCTCCTCCATTTCTCTCTCTACTTCTGACCTGGTCCACAGTTGGGTGCCTGTGTGTGTCTCACACCCCCTCCCACCCTTGATAGGCTGTGTCTTTACCCAGGAGGGTCCAGAGAGACTCCCCAGGCAACAGACACACCAGAGGGGGAGGCTCCCTTCCAATGGTCAGGATGCTGCGGCCTCGTCTTTTCCAGGAGTGATGGGTTTACACTCTGACTAAAGGGGAATGTTAGGGTCCAGGTGATCTTGGGGGCACCCTCGTCTGCTGGGCAGGGCAGGGCCACAGAAGCCTTGGGTCTTCTGCTACATGCAGAAGGGGCTCTGCACTCATCAGGCCAGCCTCGCCCGCACGCCGACTCAGGACAAGCACAAGCTGCCGGGTGGTTGGCACGGCTCCCAGGGCCCAGTGCCGGCCGGCGAGCCCAGCCCTTGCTGAACGCTCTGCTGCTTACCCCTCCCTAGTCAGCTCCAGGTCTCTGCTTCTGGCCACCTTCCCCATGTCAGCCCTCCACGCCTGGCCTGGCCTGGGCCCCATACCTGTGGTTACAAGGTCACTCTGCCCCACCCCAGCTGTCATGGTATCTCCTGCCCACAATGCTCCCAGCTCCATGGACGGCCACCTGACAACTGACCTCATCCTTCCCGCCTTCCCCTAGATAAAGCCTGCCCCCACTTCCTTCCAGACAGCCACCTCCCACCCCTGCCACAGCCCCTGACCTTGGCTGGCGCTCCGGGAATGAGGACACCCCAGGCCCCACACTCAACGGGAAATGCCTTCCTCCCTCTCCCGGGGGCACCAAGGGGGCCAAGCAGGAGGCCGGTTGAGCGGGCTGTTTTGATGGAAAAGCTGAGAGAAGGGCAGAGGGTAAAGTCCTGCCATTGTTTGGACCAGAGGGTTCACCCTGCAGGCTGTTCTCAGGCTTTCGAGGAAAGGTTGCTTGGGGGGGGCGGGGGAGCAGGGCTGAAAGGGCAGGTGGGCGGCCCTCTCGTGGCCCCGTGTGTCCTCTACAGAGCTGCTTTGGTGGTTCCGTCCTGCAGGTGAGAAAGATTGAGATCGTGAGGAAGGTGCCGACTTTTAAGAAGGCCACAGTGACCCTGGAGGACCACCTGGCGTGCAAATGTGAGACGGTGGCAGCAGCCAGGCCCGTGACCCGGAGCCCAGGGAGTCCCCAGGAGCAGCGAGGTAACCGCCTTCCCCCGGCCTGCCTCTGACTTGCTCAGCCTGAGCTCCCTTGGCCTGCTGCAGTCCTCAGGGGCCTCTTTGAGGCTCTCCATCTCAGAGACCAATCTCAAAGGCCACACGTGTGAGGTGTGCCTCCCTTGTGCCTTCCAGCCAGGCTGACCACCTTGAGTGGCTGAACAAGCGTCCACCTCGGGGCCTTTGCACATGCCCTTCCCTCTGAGCCCACCTCTCCCAGCTCTTCACAACCTGGTTGCTTTTCAGAAGTTGGCATCTTCCTAAGGGTCTGCCCTGACCATGCTGTCCACAGAAGCAGCCCCCATCCCAGTCTTCCTCTATGTTTTCTATTGTCGAGTGAGTGAGTGTAGTGGCGAGAGGAACCAGGGCCTGGGCAAAAGAGAACCAGCTGCACATTATCTTCAGAAACTGGAAAACTTGTCCTGGGGCTGAGCGATCACACTACAGTAAAACCTAAGAAAGCCAGCACCTGTGTTAGGAGGAAACCTGTCAGAGCAGGAGAACTCAACTGCCATATTTCCACTAAAATGAATGATCGAAAAGGGGTGAGACTGCACCCTGTCAAAGGCGGAAAATTAGCAGGGCAGTCCCATTGAGTTCCACCTCTCACAGGTTTCACTGTAATTCCTGTTGTCTGGAGGGGAGAATTAGGACCAGTGGGAAAAAGCCACCGGGGAGAGATTTTAGCATCATAAGGAAATGCTGGTGAGCGGTCAGGGTTCAAGATGGAATTGGCTGCTTTGGGAAGTAGTGAGCTCCCTGTCATAGGAGGTGTGCAAGTCAAGACTGGGCAACCGTGCAGCAGGGATGTGACAGGTGGGACTCTAAAGGCAGTTCCACTCTTGTCCTTAGATTTCATGAATCCAGTCTCAGGGGCGGGAGCTCTGGTAGCATAGTGGCTAAGACACTTGCCTGCTAACCAGACGGCTGGCGGTTCAAACCCACCAGCCACTCCTCAGAAGGAAGGTTGGGCAATCCTACTTCCGTAGTGATACTGCCTCGGAAACCCAAGAAGGGGTCGCTATGAGTCGGGTTTGACTCGACGGCACATAACAACAACAACAAAAGTCTCAGGGGCAGGGTGGGACTTAAAGAGGAGAGGAGAGGCCTAAAAAATGGTCTTGTCCAACTGCCTCTCCTCGTTTCAGAGAGGCCCAGAGAAGCTGTGGTCTCTCTCACCCAGGGTCACACAGGAATCCCAGGTAGAGTGCAGGGGGCTGAAATCCAGATATCCTACAGTTTGGTTTCTTAACTCTTGACAGCTTCCCATCTGCCTTGTCATTTTTTTTTAAAAAAAAATAATTTTTAAGTTTTAGAACTAGAATGGACCAAAGAGAGGGCCTTGCAACTCGGCCTTTCAGTATTACTAATAGGACTGCTACGGCACAGAGAGGTTAGTTAAGTGACTTAATGGAGGTTGCACAGTGACAAAGCCTGGCCTGGAACCTAGGTCTTGTATCCATCGTGCTACCTTCTCTCTTAAATGTTTGCAGGAAGGATCAAAAGAAAATCATTAAATGAGAAGAACATCATCACACGGTGATAGTTTTTGTCTTCAGGAACTTTGTGTTGCCAGGAGACGGGACAGTCTTTTCCATTCTGTGTCCCTATTAACAAGCCCCCTGAAGGCAGGGCCATTTCTGAGCCACTTTGTCCCTTTCTCAGGCCCTGGATGCTCTGGGAAGGCTGAGAATTTGACACTTTGCAGTGAGTGTGTTATAAATCATTCACAGAGTGTTAACAGGGAGAATGATTTCCTACTGAGGAGACGTTCTTTTTCTCTTTTTGTCGGAAACAGGGTATCTTGCATGCATTTGGCTCCTGCACTTTTTCTTTGTTTTTCACTTTTATTTTGGTGAAAACATACACAACAAGACATTTGCCAACATACCAACATCCACATTTGCAGCTCAGGGACATTGATGGCTCATGCAGTTTTCCAAACGGTTGCTTGGGAGGCAAGTTAGACTGATTTCGTCTTTAGATAACGTGAAGGTTCCTCTCCTGCTGTCTCAGCGTTTTGGCCCAGTGTGATGGGACTTCTGGCAGCCATCAGGGGCCCCATGAAGGCTCAGTGTGGCCCATGTGATGTGGTCAGGGTCAGACAGCCTGGGCTTAAATCTCTCCTCTGTCATTCATGACTGTCACTCATGGGCTGTGTGACCTTGAGCTTGCTTGGGCTTTGCCCAGCCCAGTGTCCAGCTGGTGGCCTGGACTCCAAAGTGGAAATTCCCTGGGTCCTTCCACAGTGCTCCCAGGTGTCCTCCCTATGAGGGGCATCTGAGACCCACTGGAGCCCCCGAACTGTAGAGCACAGGCCCATTTGCAGAGACGAGATAACTGTGTCAAGGGAAGTCATACCTGAGAGCTGGCAGGTCAGGTAGCAGCCCCAGAGGGCCCGGTGGGCTGGGGAGAGCTCAGAGGCCTCCTAGAGGGAGGCTGGGAGGGCTGGACAGGGCAGCTGCACCGCCAAGGTGTCTGCCCTGAAGCCCAGAAGGGAGAAGAACCTGAGTGCTAACCTCGGCTGAGGCTCACTGGCCCCCTTCATCTGCACCAGAGCGGTTCAAAGTATAGACTGTAGAGGCAGATCCTTGGGTTCAAATCCTAGTCTCCTTGCCTCAGTTTCCTTATCTGTAAAATGTAGACGATAGCACCTGCTGTGAGGATAGATGAGCTTAGAACAGCATCAGGGGTGTGGGAAGTGCTATCTAAGGGTCTGTGAATATTTTCACATAGTATCTCTAGACCCTAGGAGGCCAAACTGCTCTTTCTGTGTTAAAGATGTGGAAACTGAGACACAGAGAGTTTAAGTGACTTGCCCTAAAGCACACGGCCAGTGAGTGGGAGGGCCAAGACTTGAACCCAGGCAGTCTGGTCCACAGCCCACTCTCGGGCTCAACCCACCATACCACCTCTTGGGGTGGCGAGGGACAGGTGGATGACTGGCACCGTATCATACATTTTATTGGTTGCTGTCAGTTCCACTGAGTTGATTTCAATTCACGACTCCACATGACAGTAGAACTGCCCCATAAGGTTTTCTTGGCCATAATCTTTATGTGGAAGCACATTGCCAGGTCCTCCTCCTGTGGAGCTGCTGGGTGGGTTCAAACCAGCAACCTTTTGTTTAGCAGCCAAGCACTTAATTGTTGGGCCACTATGGCTCCCTTTTCAATTGGTTAAACAAGTCTACCCAGATTCAGGAGGTGGGGAAATAAACTCCACCTCTCAGATGGGTGATAACAAAAGAGCTTAAGGCCACATTTAATCTGTCACAATGTTCTGTGCCTGATACAGTGCAAATGACTTTGCAGACATCTTGTCATTTACTTCTCCCTGTCCTGTTACCCCCATTGCATGGATGAGAAAACTAGGACACAGAGAGGGTCAGTGATTGTCCTTAAGACACACAGCTGGTGAATGGTAGAGCCGGGATTTAAGCCCAGAAAGTCTGTCCCCAGGGCCCCTTCCTGCCGTTTCCCTCAGCCCCGGGGGGATCTGTGGTGGTCTGTGGCAGGCTGTGGTCAGGAGGGCTGGACCGCCCAGTGGTTGTCCACGTGCTGATAAGACATTTCTCTTGTGCAGCCAGGACGCCTCAAACTCGAGTGACCATCCGGACGGTGCGAGTCCGCCGGCCCCCCAAGGGGAAGCACCGGAAATTCAAGCACACGCATGACAAGAAGGCGCTGAAGGAGGCCCTTGGAGCCTAGGGCCATCTGCGGGAGAGTGCGGGCAGGTGAGAGCCAGGAGGCAGACAGAGGCCTAGACCCTGTGTTCCCTTCTCCGCGGCCTATGGCTTGGGCTGCGGGTGGGGGCAGGGCAGAGGCATATTCCATATCATAGTCCGGGCTCTAAGCCTTGTCCTCTCTGCCCTGTCATCAGCTGAGGCCTTCCATGAGACCACTGTGCTAGGGAGTTTGGAATCCTCAGGCCTGCTGCATCCCAACATGTTCTAGTAGAATGGGAGATCCAAACCAAGAGTCTTCTAGCCTACCTCAGTACTTACAACTCCGAGTAGTGCTGGAAACCAGGACAGCTGGTCAACCCCAGCTCCTTGCCCCTGCCTTGCGGGACATAGCAGAGGGGGTAGCCCTACCCTTCTGCCCCCTCTATCTCTGACCTTTGTGTCCCTCTGCTTGGCCTACAGGGTTATTTAATATGGAATTTGCTGTATCGCCCCCATGGGGTCCTTGGAGTGATAATATTGTTCCCCTCGTCCGTCTGTCTCGATGCCTGATTCGGACGGCCAATGGTGCTTCCCCTTCCCCTCCACGCATCTGTCCACCTTCTGCCAGTGAATCTCCCCGCAGCGGCCTCTGGTCTCTTGCCCAGCAGCTCAAGGAGGACACGGAATGAGCTGAACTCCCCCCTCTGCTCTTGAAGATCTGGGATACGCATGCAAGAGAGACTGACAAGGTCGCTGTTAGGGAAACCGGCTTCCCCCTACCCTGGCCTGACCAATCCCAAGCACTGTGGACTGGCCGAGGCACCCTGCACGTGGCCTGAGGACCTCTTGGTGTGGCCTGCCTGGTCCCTGAACCCCTGGCCAGCTCTCCGGGAGACACCCCAGGCAGGCTGGGGTACTTCCTATGGCTTAGGCCATGCGAGGGAACTGACTGAAGAGAACCCCTCCCACGGTGCCCAGGCCTGTCACCACCTCTCCCTGATCACCTCTGCTCACGGTGGCTTCTTTTCGTTTTCTACATATGACATCTTTGAAGATGTGGACTCCTCAAAGCGGGTGAGGCCGGAGCACCAGACGGCCGAGTGCCCTCTCAGGCGGGTTAGAGATGAAGCACACTCTTGGGGTGGACGTGGATGATGACCTGGGCACCCCTGCCTCCTCCCGGCCCCCCATCCTTCACCTCCTCCTTTCCTTTCATCTCTCTACCTCCACCTGGCACCTTCCTCTGGTTCTGGCCATTCGGTCTGTTCTATCCAGGGGCTCTCAGACCCCTTGTCGAGGCCCCACATGACCCCAGTCGCTGCTCCCCAGGGCAGGAGACCATGGGTCCGGGCAGCAGGTGGCCTGCCTGTCTATTTCAGCCCAGTCAAGACTGCCATGAAAGGTTGTATGAGGTTTGCACTGCACAAGGGCCCCACAGGCAAGGGGCCTGTTCACACCAGAGACACGGCCGATTTGTGTATTTATTATGATGGTTTCTGGCAGATGGAAGTGAGGTGTCTGGAGGAAGGGGATCATTTTCCTAATTTACACAAAGGCTCCCTGTGGACTGGCTGGGCCCCTGTACCAGCTGTAGCTTGGAGTGGACCCACAGGAGTGAGCCTCTGGTGAGGGAGAGAGAGACAACACCGGTGTCTGTCTGCCCTCCGTTTCCCAGAGTCCTGAGCTCCCGCAGTGCCCCTTCCAGGCAAGGGTGAGACACCCAAGAGAAGGCCTCCAAGGGAGGGGGCAGCCGCTGGCCATCCAGCCTGCACACCCCTATCCTAGACCCTCCCCAGGCTCACCTCTGGGGCCTCCTCCCAGGACACTAGCTTATGGGCTGGGAGGGGCTGGAAAGGGAAGAGGCCCCCAGGAGCCTGGCGGGCAGGGCTGATCTCGCCTCTTTTCCCACCTTCCGCTGCACTTTCTCCCCTCCCCCTCTCCAAAATCTGCTTCCTTCAGTTTGTAAAGTTGGTGATTATATTTTTGGGGGCTTTCCTTTTATTTTTTAAATGTAAAATTTATTTATATTCCATATTTAAAGTTGTAAAAAAAAAATAACCACAAAACAAAACCTAACGAATCTGCTGGAGGTCTGTCTTGGCATAACACATGACAATTAACCTTTCCACGTTGGCAGGATTTGCTGACAGCTTGCGTGTGTCTCAGGCTCTGGGAGGCTCCGACATGATTACATGTTCCAGCACATACTCATGCATGTGCGTACACTCACACATGTATGTTTATACACACTTAATGCATATGTACACACTTGTGTGCATGTGCACTCTTATGCACGCACACTTATGCATGTGCATACACTTACATATGCACACACAATATTCACATGCATGAACACAATATGCTTGTGCACATTCATGTGTGCACACACATACAGGCATGCTCACAAGGGTGTACACAATCATGCATGCACACACACACACCTGTTCACACTCACATGTGCATACCTCTGATCACGCACTTACAAATGCATGCAGTGCACACACATACACTTGTGTATGCATACACATCCACATCCACATGTATGCACATACATGTGTACACCTGCACACATAGTCATGGAGATGCACAGACATTAACGTGTGTGCACACATTTTCACGTGTGCATGCACACTCGCGTGCGCACGTGTGCACCACATGCACCTTTGCCTACTCTTTTATATGCATGTGCACTCATACATGTGTGTGTGCATGCATTCACACATATGCATGTGCACACACACAGGCCCACAGCTCTGGCTGCTCTGAGGGGTAAGAGCCATGCAGCAGGTCCTGACACACAGACCCTGTGTCCCAGCCCTGTGCCCATCCTGGAGGTGAAAAGAGGTGGGTTTCTTTGGCCAGAGGGTCTCCATAAGGGAAGCAGCTCCAGCATCGTGGGTCAGGATTGGCTGTGGGGAGGGGCACCCAGTGTGGCAAAGGCGGGAGGAGGTCTCGGAGAGGCTGTGGGTTACAGAAGGAAGCACAGTTGGAAGTCAGATGGCCAAGTCTGGTCTTGGCTCTGCCCATGGCCATCTTTGAGGCCTTGAGCAAGTCATATCCCCTCTCTGGCCAACACCTCTGAAGCATGACAAGATGGCCTGGAGGCTTCTGGACTCCAAGGCTCTCAGCTCTGTGCTTTCCCTTTCCATGAAGATGTGGCTGCTGTTCCATGGAAAGGATGTAAAGTGACCGGGGTTGCACCTGCAGACAACCTGGGACTGGGGAAACCCCGGGAGGTGGTTGATTCATCCTAAGGATGATGACTAAAAACCAAGCAGTTGTCTGGAAGTAGTGAGCTCCGTGTCACTGGAAGTGGATATGAGGAAGCTGGGTGGAAACTTGACTGAGGTTATGCTAAATAACATTTGGGTTCCCCATTGATTGACATTGATTGATTGATTCATTCATTCAATCACTCACCTTCTTGGGCCCCTACCATGTGTTTTTCCCTGCCAGAGGATTTGACAAGAATTTGATTTAAATTCATTCTACAAATCTAGCCCTGTACTTGAGGAAGTAGAAGTCACCCAGGATGGTGGCGGTAAGGGGGTACAGGTCAGAGGGACTTACTGGAAATTCTTGTCCCTGCCTGCTCAAACCTGTTTGGCAGGACCCTCCCCTTTCCCAGTTCCCAAGGTGTCAGGGAAGACTGACTGGGAAAAGAAGGGGAGATGACAATTAGAGGGTGGCTGGGGCCCAGATCATGTGGCATCTCTGCAGCTGCCCAGAGCTGGGTTGTTCCGCAGATGGCTGCAGACGCTTCCTAGGGGAAGTAGAGGTAGAGCCACATATAACCCTCCCTTCTCTGGGTACATCCTGTACTGAGCCCATAGGCCATCTAGGGACTTGGTGGACCCTCATTGGTTTTTAGAATTACCAGGCTAAAATGATATCCTCAAAGGAACCCCTCTTCTGGGGAAAAAGCACCTCCTTTTTTTATCCCTTTCTCCACCATGTAATATAGGTGTGATGTCTGGTGCTTAGGCAGCCATCTTGAACCATGAGGTGAAAGCCAAGTACTGAGGTTGATGGAGCAGGACAGACTGGGCCAGGGTCTCTGACACTATGGAGCTGCTGTACCAGCCCTGGACTGCCTACCTCAGGTTTTCTTTTTTTTTTTTTTTTTAATAATTTATTTTGTTGTTATTGAGAATATACACAAAAACATAGACCAATTCAAGTTTCTCCGTGTACAATTCAGTGACATTGATTGTATTCTTTGAGTTGTGCCACCATTCTTACCCTCCTTGTCTGAGTCGTTCCTCCTCCATTAACATAAACTCCCTGCCCCCTAAGGTTCCTCTTCTTTTGAGTTGCTGTGGTCAGTGTGATCCTTTGTGGATAGATCTTAAAAGAACACAGTGTTCAAGGCAGGCAGTCTTTACTAGTGAAGCTAAACTGTTGTTTGGTTTTAAGAAGACTGCAGGGGATATTTTTTGGTTTAAAGTTTCAAGATTATCTCAGGGCAATAGTTCCAGGGGTTCATCCAGCCTCCATGGCTCCAGAAAGTCTGGAGTCCATGAGATTTTGAAATTCTGTTCTGTATTTTCCTCCTTTTGATCAGGATTGTTCTATAGAGTCTTTGATCAAAATGTTCAGTAATGGTAGCTAGATGCCATCCAGTTCTGGTCTCATGGCATTTTTTTTTTTCATGGAGGCAATTAGACACACATTCCATTTCCTGCTCTTGTTCCTGACTCTTCTTTTCCTTCTGTTGCTCTAGGTGAATAGAGACCAGTTGTGCCTTGGATGGCCACTTACGGTAGCTCAGGATTTTTTTTTTTTATGTAAGACAGACATTTCTTTGTGTTGGCGTTACTCTTACTTTACATTTTTGCTCACAGAAAACTGAACTCAATCCTAATAGCCCTGGTCACTCTGGGGAAGAGATGATGTGGCCCCCGGCTGGCCGTTTATGCTGCCACAAGCCTTGGGTGTTCGTTCTTGCCTTACGAACTCTTGCCCGCTATCCAATGTCTGGCTCAGAGCCCATTTTCCCAAGGAGCCTTCCCTGACCAAGGCTGGCTGCAGCCCAACAGCCCTTCAGCCCTCCAACCTCAACAAGAACACCTAACTCCCCGTAGCCCTCTTTGGAAGTCCAGCATTCACAGCATCCATAAAATAACAAAACAGTGAATATTTACAGCATTTAAAGTAACGTATCTATGGGCTCTTAACATTCACAAGACTGCTTTAAGGATGGAAGGAGACAGTAGCAAAACCATGGCAAAGAGCCTTCGTGAGAGTGAGACATCCAGCTCCATTCTCCACTGTGACACCGGGACCAGAACGTTTCTGCTGTTGCTATATAATGTCAGGTCAGGAACCCTAGAAGTCCAATGCCTTATCTGTACATAAAACTGTCTTACGGTCCCAATTTAGCATGGGGTGACTGGGACCCTACAAAACTCAATTCTCTTCCTAGATCTCTACTGCACTCCCACTGCTCTTTCTGCGGGCCTCCAGTCAAGTGTCAACCCACCAGCCCTTCCAAAAGGGCCGACTCCTGTCTGCAGATCCCGCTCTTTTTACCTGCTCCACTTATCTCCATAACACCTCATCCCATCTGGCTCACTAAATATGTCCATCTTTCCTTGTCTTCCCTCCTCCTGATGGAAGTTCCATGTGGAGTTATTTCACTCACTGCTGTCCCCAGAGCCCAGGACAGTGCCTG